CACATTTTATTTAATAATGAACTCAGCTGTCTGTGTCCTACACTCAGACCACTGACCATACCATTTTAAACAGCCAATAAGACTAAAGATTTCTACTGATTGATAATAGGAGTTCAGCACTCTTGACCATCTGGTGCAATGCTGCAGACTTAAACACATTAAAAAGCTTTTACGGGTCGATGAGAATGGGAAGTTTATGTAATTTTACTTTGGGTTTATTTTAAGGATTCTATAACAATGAAACCAAAGATGCGTCTGAGAATCATGTCTCCTCTTGAGCTTGAGCTTCGCTGTGCAAACATTTCTGCTGCGCTGGTTCGTCAGGCACATGATGGCCACAGTATAAAGCCACCTCAACAATTACGAAGATTCACACTGAGCATTTATTGTGATAGGGCGATCGAAAAATATTCCACACTGGGAGGAGGCGAACTGAGAGATGGTCAGGTTGGACAGTAACTCTTCAGCTCTATAATGAAATGATAATAACCACTAAAAGCTAAATAAACAAAGTGAGAGATGTTTGCCTTCTTATCACATGGTTGCTGTTGGCAACAGCAGATCTGCATTGTTTTGTTTAAGGTTACAGACTTAAGTAAAGTTAAGACCCCTCACATGCTCTGCAGTGACAAAAGAAGAAAATACTTGCTCAAACCTGAGCACGGAGTGCCCATTGGGTATTGCATGATAGTGTTGCTTCACACAAATGTAAAGGATCCCTATTGTTGCTAACGATGTTCATGTATTCAGGCCTCCTCCTGTGCTCCCTCCCACACTCCTGTGGGGAGACTGTAAATACACACTAGTCTCTCTCTCATCATCATTAATACGCTAGTATATTGATATCTGCGATGGCAGATGAGCATTGGAACCAACAACAACAAGCATGACCCATGTACGGAATGAGGCAAGTGATTTGTTACAGAAGTTAATAGTTTTTGAGGGAATGGATCTGGAACTGAACACAATTGGAAATACTGAAATTCATTATCATGAACCGGACGAAGATTTTGACCCTGAAAAAAACTTTTTTAAGAACTCTGAAAATAACTGCAAGTATTACACGGATGAGCAGTTTAACAGCAATGTCAAGACTGAAAATAAATTATCACTAATTCATTTTAATAGCAGAAGTTTATATGCAAACTTCCAGAGTATAAAACATTATCTTAGTAGTCTGACACATTCTTTTAATATAATTGCTATTTCTGAAACTTGGATTAATACTGTAAGGGGAATGGATTTTGACCTTGATGG